GGAAGAACTCAAGGAAACATTTGGCAGGGTTCATAAGACAAAAGGAGAAGATCAAACAGGTGATAAAGAAAGAACTGTGAAAGAAATTTTGAAAGATTACAGAGGTACAGCTGGAGAAACTTCCTATGGGTGAAAAAGCACCCCAATGGCCTAGAAAAAAAAATGTTCAGGTGTGTTATATACTGCTTTGAGATCAAGATGACAGGGAGGAGATATGACCAGAATTTAACCAAAAGCGCAATAAAGTGTCTTTAAATACCTTAAAACAAACTGTCTCCATGCAAACTGGAGATACTTTGGTTTTATACAGCAGAATTTATTGCAATCGAGACAATAAATCAGTGTTTTACAGCTTGTTTACCATGCATGGAGCCAGTCAATCCAGCTTAATTACTTGCAGGACATGAGCTCTAGAGATTTCTGGCTGCATTATTCAACACTGACATACAGCCCTCAGAAGACTAGAAACAGGTCCTCATGCCAGCAGCATACAGATGATATCCAGGTGGGCAGGTACAATAACACTGAGAAACAGACAGTCAGGAAATCCTTGTCACCAGGACCAAGGGAAAAACTGAGAGTCTGTCTGACCTCGGTTAGCAAGGAGGATCATGTTAATTTATAATCACAGAATCATAGAATGGTTTGGGTTGGAAAGGAATCTTAAAGATCATCCAGTTCCATGCCCCTGCCATGGGGAGGGACAACTTCCACTAGCCCAGGTTGCTCGGAGCCTCATCCAACCTGGTCTTGGGACACTGCCAGGGATGGGGCAGCCACAGCTGCGCCGGCCAACCTGTGCCAGGGCCTCAGCACCCTCACAGGGAAGAATTTCTTCCCAACATCCAATCTAAACCTGCTCTCTGTCACTGTGAAGCCATTGCCCTTTGTCCTGTCACTCCAGACCCTTGACAAGAGTCTCTCTCCATCTTTTTTGGAGGCTCCCTTCAAGCACTGGAAGGCCACAAAGAGGTCACCCAAAGCCTTCTCTTCTCCAGGCTGAACAATCCCAATTGCCTCAGCCTTTCCTCCCAGCAGAGCTGCTCCATCCCTCTGATCCCCTTGGTGTCTCTGCTCTGGCCTGGTTCCAGCAGCTCCATCCCAGAGCACAGCCTTTTGGCCTGGGATCCTTTTGCTGCATTCCTGACCACCCCATGTGAAAAAAGTTATCTCCAGTCTCTGGATGGAATTGTTTGGAGACATTTTTTCCTGGTATGTATCCCATTCTCACTACTGCAGCCTTTAAAAGGAAGACACAGACTGGAAAGACAGGTCCCGAATGTGTCCTGGACATTAGTTCTGCATGTGTTGGATGGGAATCCTGGAAAGTGACTTTACCATGACAGAACTCTGCCATGGGTCTTAAGAGGAGTACAAATTCTTTGATTAGCAGCAAAGAAGTCTGTGTTGCTCTAATTGCCAGATTAAGAACCTTTGTCAGCTTAACCATCCCCAAAAGATGCAAATCAGACTGTAACAGGATAATCATCCCCATCACAGTCCTCCACAACTGAGGCCCTGCTGAGCAGGGAATGTTACTAGAGGTCAGAGAGGAATTTTTTCCCTGCATCCACCCCAATAGGAGGATTTGTGGTGACACTGTCAGACTCAGCAGCAGACTGCTGGTGTGTTTGATGCAGCCAAGCTTGGCCAGGGTAAGAAAATGCTTTAAGCCCTGCTTGGCCTGACTTTTGGAGTCAGAAAGTAGAGGTTTCTTGTTAGTTCCTTGAGAAGCTCATCACAGCATTGGGCTCTGCCCTGTCTGAAATGGTTTGATTTTTTGGAGGAGTTAAACCACACCTGGATCCCTACATAAGACTCCCATTGCCATTCACCTCAGCAATGAGTCCTGCAGTGAATGTTGAGTGCTCTGCTCCCTCTGATTGTGCAATGTTAACTGGAATCAAGACCACATCTCTGGCTTGCACCAGATCCCAGCTATCCAACCAGAGCAAAATGTCCCACCAGCACCTTTTCTAAGCCTCTCTATATGTCCTTCTCTCTCCCACACCAGCTTTTTCTCTCTCACAACAGCATGTGGCTGCTCCATCAGTTCTACCTCCTAGGAACCAGCCACTTTCTGATGCAGAGAAAGCTGCAGCTTTGACATACAGGCAGCTCATCAGCTCTGTTTGCTGTCACTCACTGCTTCAATTTTTGTGCACGTGATTCTATTCACTGAACTCCCACCTAAAAGAAAGATTTTAGATGTACCTAAACATCTACTCCCTTTACTCCTCTCAAAGACATTTCCTTCTCCTAGCAATTGATTTCCAGAAAAGCAGAGATTAAGGAGCTGTTTCTTACAAGCTGGCAGCAGTTTGAGTATCCTCTACCGGCACGAAATGGGATTTCAGTCACTAAACCTTGGATGTCTGTAAGATCTCCCACTCTTCCCATGCCAGCAAATATCCTCCCTCCCCTGAATCTGCTTTGCTGTGCTCCCTAGCATCCCCCACAATCCCAAATTCGGGATAACTTCAGCTGTGGTAGCCAAAAGAAAAAAAAGAGCCTTTTGACATCAGGTGTGTTAAGACACGAAAACTCTCTGCTCTCTTGCTCTGTAGAAGCCTCAGCCACACTTGTGTTTGAGACTTTTAACAAGAATGTTTGTGTTCAAACAGCTATGTGAGCATGGGATCAAAGACTTGTCTCACACCATAACAAAGGCATTTCCTGCTGCTGCCACTGCCCCGGGGAAAAGAGACAGCTCCACCGTGGCACGAGAGTCACAGCATGGCTTTGGTCATAGATTTAGAGAATCACAGAATCAGCCAAGTTAGAAAAGACCTTGGAGATCATAATCTCCAACCTATGACCTAACACCACTTTATCAACTAAACCATGCCACAAGTGCCACATCCAGCCTTTTTCAAACACCTGGTCCATGGAGTCATCCCATCCTTCACTGATAGGAGGAGCAAAGACTCCTCCTATCAGACGAAAAGAAGCATAAAAGCACCTGCTGCCAAATCTCTAAGCTACACACCTGTCTATAAGATGGCATTCATACCTAATAATGAAAAAGAGTTGACAGTATAACAGTACTGTCATTACTTTATTGTATTTTAATACATACCACCAAGATTAACAGTAATTTTAAAATTCTTTGATGTCATGTGATAGAATACTTCCAGTTTGAAAAAAAAATAAAAAGGATTTTTTAGTTTCCTTTCAGCAAACTTTAAATGGCACTGCTCTGCCATGAGAGCTTGGTGACAAATCATGGTGGAACAGCTCTTAGCCCTCTGCAGTTCTGTGCACTTCACACATGGGGAACATTCCTGTATTTCCTTGTGCACAGAGAGCTTTCAGTCATCCAAAAGCATCTGATTTAGTGTTGGCAAAGTCAGCTCTGTAATAACCCAGGTTCCAGAGGCTGAGTGGAAATGGAGAGCCTTTCTTTAGCTCTTTTTTTTTTTTTTTTTTGTGTCATCCTGTAACCTTTAAATTGGAGCAGCACCTCTGCTATTGAATTCAACAGGAGATTTCATACAGTTTTTTTTATGAGATTCATTATCTGGGGAGTACATCTGCCATCAATTTTAAAGCCAGAAAAGATTGCTATGATCATGTATTGTACTTAGAAAAGGGAGCAGTGGAATCTCAACCTACTGGCAGAGCAGCTCTGCAAGGCAGCTGGCACTTCTCCCAGCCTTGCACCTTCCCTGTCCTCTAAATATGCAAGTTAGTATCCACAAGTTAAAATCCACTCTTCACTGTGTCAAAACTGGCTGGATGGCCAGGCCCAGGGAATGGTGCTGAATGGAGCTATGTCCATTTCGTGGACAGTATATCCAGAGGTGTTCCCAGAGCCAGTTCTCTTTAAATGACAACCTGAACAAGGGGATTGAGTACACCCTCGGTCATTTCTCAGATTACACCCAGCTGGGTGGGAATGTGGATCTGCTGGAGGGATCTGGACAGGCTGGATCCATGGCCCAGGCCAGTGGTCTGAGATTCCACAAGGCCAAGGGCCTAGTCCTGCCTTGGGTCACACCAGCCCCCTGCAGCTCCAGGCTGGGGCAGAAGGGCTGGAAAGCTGGGAAAGGCCCTGGGGGTGCTGGGGACAGCACTGGACAGGAGCCCAGGGGTGCCCAGCGGGGCAGGAGGCCAATGGCACCTGGGCTGTGCCAGCCCTGGTGTGGCAGCAGGGCCAGGACAGTGACTGTCCCCTGGGCTGGCACTGCTGGGGCCACGCCTCAGATCCTGGGGCACTTCTGGGAACCTCAGGACAGGAAACACATTGAGGGGCTGGAGCGTGTCCAGAGAAGGGAATGGAGGTGGGGAAGGGTCTAGAGCACCAGGAGGGGCTGAGGGAGCTGGGGGGCTCAGCCTGGAGAAAAGGAGGCTCAGGGGGGACCTTCTGGCTCTGCACAACTCCCTGACAGGAGGGGACAGCTGGGGGGGACTGGGCTCTGCTCCCGGGAACAAGAGATGGGATGAGAGGGAATGGCCTCAACTTGTGCCAGGGGAGGGTCAGGTTTGACATATGGAGGTATTTTGTCATGGAAAGGGTGCTCAGGCACTGGAATGGGCTGCCCAGGGAGGACAGGGAGTCCCCATCCTTGGAGGTGTTCAAGAAATGACTGGACATGGCACTCAGTGCTCTGGGCTGGGTGACAAGGTAGTGTTTGGTCACATGCTGGACTTGATGATCATAAAGGTCTTTTCCAACCTGAATTATTCTGTTATTCAATGATTCTATGATTCTAAGGTACCCTAATGGAATAACCTTGGCAGGCAAACACCCCACACTTCTGTCAGCAAAGGAAGAGAAAAAAATCTAGAGACTGTCCTAGAGGCAGAGTGTGTAGGGGCAAGTATTCACACAGCGCTGCAGAAGAAAAAAAAAAAAAAAAAAAAAAAAAAAAAAAAAAAGATAATCAGGCATTGGAACAGCTTATTCCTGAATGGATCCCGCGCCCTCTGCTGGAGCGCTGTGCTCATCCCAGCCCAGCCAGGGAGGAGGGAACAGAATACAGGTGCGCCATGGCAAGGTCAGAGCTGGGAACAGGCAGGGGCCAGTTAGAAGGGAGAAAGCTCAAAGGATATAATGCAATGTAAAGACTATTCATGAGGGGAAAAGGAAGCACTACACAATAGGTGATGAAAGGAGGAACTTGCTCCCTACAGGGTACCCAGAGGGGCATGGAAGGACGAAGGGATTTGGGGCTGTCTCATCCCCCTTCACAGCAAAGATCAGACCCCAAAATTTGGACACTACAGCAGAGGGGACTTTGGAATGTCAGGTTTACTAAAACATCATCAGAAATCTCAGGCATGCATGAGAACAGTGCCAATGTTTTCTGCAAGCACAGGTGAAATCAGTGATATGGATGAAGGTCACTGGCTGCACAGCCTCTAGGGAGGGCTCCACCTCCACCTGTGCTGCTCAACTCACTGCAGCCACTTTCCCAGGAAGTCCTATGATGTCCTTTGATGTCCCAACAACAATACTGTGCAGCAAACGTAAGGCAAGCTATCCTTGCAAACTTCTCCAGACCTCTGGCTTCAGGGATACTCAGAGGAGGGGCAGATCAGTAGATGCTGGAATGGCCACTTCTGAGAATGCACAGGACAAAGGCATCACTGAGACTCAGTCCTTTACAGCACAGTGTATTTGTACCTCTGACACCTGGGGCTGCCTCCAGTCTGGAACTGCAGCTTGGTCAGGAATGTGGGTGGATGAAAAGCCCTGGGAGCTTTCTTCCCTCCTTCTGTGATGCCCAGGTTTGATTCCTATGTGGACATTTAAAGGAATGGCAGGCCTGTGTGGGGTGTGCAGAGCAATCAGAAGTCACAAAGTGAGCAGCTGCAGGAGGCAAACAGCACCTGGTTGATTTGGAAGGAGCTATAGATACACATCGCTATATAACAAGTTTAGGATGGGAAGTGACTTCCTGAAACGCAGTATCAAAACCTACTGGAAAGGGTGATTTTTTTCCAGTAATAAACAAGGAAATGATTCCTCTATGAGTATGCAAATTGCTACTCAGCAAATGGCCTGGGCTATAGGGAGCTGTTAATGTGCACAAAATCGATACCCAGACAGTTTGTCTACTCCACTCAAAGGCAAAGACAGCAGCCACACTGGCTTGGATTTGTCTGGGGTTTGGAATATAATTTCCCCCTTTGGAAAGAGAGAGTGCTGTGCAGACCTGATGGTTTCACCAAGAACCTCAACACTTCACACAGATTTGACCAGCTCACAAAGAGAAACAGACACAGGGTTGTCACATTTCTCTGCTGAGAACATGACCTCTTCCTTATTCATGAGCTTCACTCTTCACTTCTCACTCTTTGTGACTACTTGCTCCTTTTCCAGGAGTGGATGTCTTCTGCCTGCAATAAATTTGAAAATTAGGGATGAACTCTACACAGTGCAGCCAATGTCCATTGAGTTATAGTTCAAGACTCTTTAAGGGTCTGTGGACAAGTTTTAAGGAGCCCATAAAGGTCACAAAGAAAAAATAATGGGTTGTCAGCAAGCTGATATTTACTGTACTGCTATTCTCATCCCCACCAACAATATTTAGAGTATCTGCAAATAAAAGACTGGGAAACAGTTATTTTACTCCATCAGAGCTTGGGAAAAGTCAGATCTAGATCTCTCCAAAGGGTCAAAGCTATATAACACCAGTTAATACCATTAAACTGTAGAAGTTGAACGGACTTTGATCTAGACATAAGTTTCCTGTTTCTGCCAAACTTCTGCCTTAATATTAAAGTCTGAAGAATGACAACAAGAAGACCACCTAAACCTAGAAGCTCACTGTTTCCCATTTTTAACCATTCCAGGATCTTCTTTTTTGATCCCATGACTGGACATTTCACTCTAAAACCTTCTGACCTAAACAAGGATACTCACCATTACCACTGTGCTTGTTTATCTCTCCAAAGAAATCAGTGTCCTAAAGCAAAACCTTCCATAACAGAAATTATGGTGACTTTTATGAAGGACATTTTTTGTATTTATCAGGCATTCATTGATTCAATTCCTTGTTATACAATTAATTGTCCTTCTACAGAAGTTAAATTTACCAGACTGCAATACCTAAGGAAAATGTTTTAAAGAAAGTCACCACCACCTTTGTTATTCTGCAGACTGCAGGCAACAATGGAGGATTAAGTGAATGAAGTGCTGTACATAATTCCACAATTTCCCTTGAAAGTCATGAGTGAATATCACTCAATTCTGATAAACTGTCAGCATTCAATCTGTCTGCAACACAGTTTCTGCCACAGTTATTCAACAGAAGAGATGCTACTCTGTCTTTGATTTCATTTCTTCTAATTCAATGACTCCCCAAACTGTATTATCTACTGGGATCACTAATTCACTTCTAGGAAAATAATTTTAACAGACCAATTATGACAGCATATACAAATTCTGAACTTAAAATTAATAAATTTATAGACCTCCTTGCTGCTCCTTCCTGACATTTGCTTTATACCTGTATTGCCACGGATGCAGTTTAATACTCTGTGGGCCCTTATGGTGGATGCAGCTGAACTGGTCAGCCTTGCACAGTTTATGCCTTCATAATTAACCCTCTAAAAACCTTCTCCCAAACTTACCCTAAGCCGAAATGGTTTAAAAAACCCTCTTTATCTTATCTGCAGTAAGTCAAACTGAAGAGGGTGTCACAAAATTTAACACCACGCAAGGGACTGAAAAAATGTAGGACGACAGATTCCTGGGGCTCACAGACACAGCCCTGGAGTGGCCTCACCTTTTGATGGGGCTCCCTAAATCCCAGATTTCAGAAGGAAGCTATGAAATTAGTATTTACAAGAGTGGAGGCCAGGGCTGTGTTTGCAGCCTGACCAGAAATGCTTTTATCTCCATCACCCATTCACAGTTCTGAGGAGTGACCCCTGCAGCAGCCTGAGGCAGGTGAGATGACCACTCCTCCCTTCAGATCTTTGCTACCTGCTAGATAAAAAAGACATTTTCATAGGAAAAAAAATTAATAGAAGCATTTTAAGTTTTACTTAATAAATACAAAAGGGGGAGAGGTGGTGGTGATAGGGAGATAAAGGGGTTTGCATCATTGTAACCCAAATCTGATTAATTTTTTGGGGTGAAAAGATGATTTATGTGATATTGCCTGGACATTATACATCTACCTGTAGTTGAGAGCAATCTCAATTCTACACATGTCATTGCAGGTTTGGAGCACTGCTGGTGCAGGCTGGCAGTGATGGGGTCTGTAATGATGGGATCCAAAACACAGCTCCTCAGCAGCATTTGTGCCACTCACTTTAGTGCAGTGGGGTTTGGGACAGCAACTTCCCTCCAGAGGGGAGAGAAGAATCATCTGGGCTGGATGAAGAAGGGAAAGAGATGAAGTAAGCAAGTGTAGTTTGAAATGTGGCAGCTGAGAGAACAAAAGACTTTGTAAAACATGCAAAATACGTGAATTAACTCAAATGTGCAAATGTGTCCAAAGCAGTGAGGGCTTTGGGTGAGGGACAGGGAGCAGACAAGCACATGTACTCACCAGTAACAATGCTGCCACAGTGGTGGGGGAGAAGAAAAAAGAAAACAAAACTGTGTGGGAACCATTGCCCTTCAGCAAGACACAGACTCCTTCATGCAATGGGAAAACAAGGTTTTTTCCTTGACTGTTGTCTCCTTGCTCTCTTCCAGCACGACTGTGAGGCAGACACATGGATAAATACCATGTACGTGGGCTTACCTTTGTGGCTCCCGAGTCCAGAAGCAAGCAAAAGCTGAGTGAAGAGTAATTTGGAGATTGCCACTGAGCATTCCTACATACAGTGCCCATTATGGAGCAGGACAGATCTCGTGGAAGGTGGTAACACACTGCAGAGTGCCCAAGCTGGCTCTGTTTAGTCTTGGTATCCAACCAGACACAGAATGCGGGAGATGCAAAACCATCTTCACCAACTTCATCTTTCCTTGAGCAAGGGCTGGAATGGAGTCAGACACGTCCCTCACCAGCACTACACTGATCTCCAGCCAGGAGATCACTCCAACCTGATGGCAGGCAGAGCTGTCACAGCATGGAGGGACCACCCCTGCAGGACCAGCAGGGGGACTTGCCAAATTATCTTCACATCTTTCCGTGTAGCAGGAGTTCAGTGCAGCACTGCAGCACCCACCTCTGAGGAAGGTGAAATTCTGCAAGGGGACATGGACTGTCCTAAAAAAGCTGCAGACCCATATTAACTCCACATCAAACATTTAATACGAACACAGTAAAGTCCAAGAGGGCAACCAGCCTTTTTGACATAAAAAACCCCACACAATACTTTAAAAAATACTGATTTTATTCATGTCTAGCCTATTCAACAGTGGATCACACCAGCAGGAACAACCACAAATATCGCATTACAAGGTTTCATCAGGTTCTCACCTGTGCAATGCTGGATTTGAGTCAAGCACATATTATGACACCACCACTAATACAATGATTGCTGTTCAAAGCTCACTTGAGTCCCATCTCCCTGGTGCACTTCCAAGCCCAATAACCTCGTTTCCCACTGTGTGTGGGATTGTCTGCAGAGAATTTGTGTTCTCAAAGCCTGAATGCAGCAAACACCCTGAAGCACATACTCTAGCTAAAAATTCCCTATACCTCATTCTTTCTTTATTTTTGAAAGGGTTCAAGTTTTCAGTGAAACAAACAAAAAAGAACCCACCACCACCAATTTCTCAGCAATATTGGACCTGACCTGTATAAATAAGGTCCGGTAAGGGAGCTGGAATTACTTATCTCACCACATGACCTGGCCTGCTAATTCCAGCTGTTTTTCTCAGAATGATGCATCAGAGCAAGGTTTCACACCAAAAGCAAAGCACCCCTATCAATATCATGCCTGCTGATGGTGTGGTGCACACAGTATGGCCCAAGGTTTCTGCCCCATGGATTTCCCCAGTATATTCACACTTTTCCAAAGGTAGCCTGCACCTATACTGACTCTGAAGACAACTGCCCTTGCAAGAAGGATTCATGGCAGCTCTGGTCACTCATGGTCAGTCACATGGCCTTGTCACACAGATCAGGATAAAGAGACTTGGAGAATTCCCACAGCTGGCCTGCACTGAGAGATAGAGCAAGTCCCTTGGGACTGTGAAGAGCATTTTGCCTCCCAAGGACTGCAGGCTGACATCCACACCCAGGACTAGTCAGAAGAGCTGCACCAGGAGCAGCCTTCATCTGGCAGCTCAGGGTTTCTCTAAACCCACTCCTACAAGCCTGTGGGAGCCACAGGTAGTCTGGAAGCTCCTGAGAGATCCAGACCCTCAGCCAGCAGCACAAAGATGCATTGAAGTCCCAGAGCTGCCAAATCAGAGACAGCTGCCTCCCACCTCTTTTCCCTCACACACTGATGCTGAAAAGTGCCAGACAGGCTAAAAGTCACTCAGGGAGATATAGAGGGTGTTACTGATAAAGAGTTCTAGGGAAGCTGGATGCCCAGATTTCCATCAAACTACCTTCTGGAAATCCCAGCTGTCACATTTAACTCCACTCTTCCCCTCAGGCTTTCCCCTTCCAGAATCAATTCTTCCTACCCCCTCCCACTTCCCTGTGCAGAGAGCTGGCAACGCAAACAAGCTGGATCCACACATGGTCATGGAAATTTGGCTGCATGGCTGACTTTTGCTGCTGCCAAAGGGAGGGAATTTCAGGCCAGAGCACCCCTCTCTGCCCTTCACTTTTCAGAGCTAATTGGTTTTTCTATCACTTTCAGCATGCCACAGCATGGACTCATGGAGCTTGAAAAGCAGCAGAGGTTTTTATCACCATGGTGCAATGGGAGAAGACTTCAGAGCATTTTCTGGGAACACCACATACAGTTATATTACAATTGCAGAATTGTCTGGCTATTGTGTCTCCTAAGTCACACAATGGACTACAAACAGTGCTATTTCAGTGAAACTCTCTACAACCACTGAAAATAAGTCACTAACTCCATTAGAGCAGGCAATGGACTCACATGTTCACAAAAAGTGACTATAGATGCTAAAGCCAGGTGCTTTGTAGGTAACTGAGAAACACGTCTGGTTTGGGCCCATCCCCCAGGCAGCAGATATTTTGCATGAAGAGGATGATTACTGCTTGTAGAGCTATATGAAACATCTACCTTTTTATCCAAGTTGTGAAAGCACAGCTTTGAAAAGCACAGTAATCCAAGGCCAAAAAGACAGGCAGACAAATGGACAGACTTTGGCCACCCATTTGGTTTTCTTAGAGAGAGTTCTTTGCTCTTTTAAGGGCTGACCTCATGCATTTGCCAGATCTGGATGCTCCACTTATAAAAAAGGTTTAAAGGAATTTTCAACAGCAGACTCTTCTGGAGGTGTCCTGTGTCAATCTCCATCTTCCCACAGGACTCGGTGCTTGTCTGGGTGTTTTGAGGAACAGCTGCTATTTAGCCACTGGCAGTTGAATCCTGCTTTATTTAGTTTTCCCAGAAATAAGACACATTGGAATCTTGTAGGGGATTCTCCCTGCTTCCTTCCTCCAGTCCCTGCTCACATTTAGTTTCAGTTTCCTGGAACTGTGTTGACCCCTTTAAAAGCAGCAGCAGCAAGAAAACCACAGAGCAAGGAAAACAGTTTCCTGGCCATAAAGATTGTACCCCCTACATAGAGAGAAACTCCACAAACTTTACAGGAAGAAGATGCAACAACATCTTTTGCAACGTCCTGACATGACAGCCTTGCAGCATACAGAATCCAGCCTAGCAAGGAAAAATAAAAAAGGTGTTGTGTTAAAAAAAATGCGCAAGAAAAAGGTGTTATTTTACAGGGATCACAGTAAAGCCACAACAACCTAAAGGTTCATTTCTTCATGAGAATGTTTGAAGGGGGTGAATTTGAAATCTGTTGTCAACTGCAGCTGGCTAAAATGGAAAGTCCTACATTTCTTTGCTTACCTTGATGCCTACTGGGATTGGCTTTAGAGCCAATTTTTCCTTGCAGCTCCTGGGAATTACACACCCGTCTTCTTACATGAGACAAAATATATTTAATAGAAGGTTGCAAAATTTGTTAGGATGCATTGCAGTGCTGTGCTCTTCAAGGACAGAGACACAAGATCTGATTCTTACTGTAATGGGGACTTTGGGAATTCCCAGAGCCATTTTCATGGCATCTAATTTTAGGTCCTTTTAAGATAGATGTGTAATGACAATTTGGCTGCTAGCCCCTCCCTTTGTGCAAGGCTGAAAAGTCTATCAAAGCAAATAAGGGAATTTAATTTTTTTTTTTAATTAGATCTGAAACAATTTATGAGACAGCAGAACAAAAAAAGTTGGGTCTGCAAGAACTTTTCTTCCTTTAGGGACTTCTCCATTGTCACACTTTTCTGCAGTCCATTTCAGCTGCATCTGTGCTGGTGACTCATAAAACCTAAAGGGCTATTAACAAGTTATTAAAAGTATCAGCAGTCTTCCACAACAAAAGAAGGAGAAAGAAAAAAATGACTGGAATAAATGAAGGACTGCACCCTGTGGAAGTGATCCACACTGAAGCAGATCATGAAGAACTGCAGGCCATGGGAAAGTTCCTGGAGGATTTGCTTCCATGGGAGGGACCCCCCACTGGATCATAGGAAGAGTGTGGGGAGTCTGTGATGATATTTTCTCTCCCCTGTAGCGCTGAGGATGGAGAGCGACAGAGTGGCTTTGGGGAGCACCTGGCATCCAGCCAGGGTTAACCCACCACAGCTACATGGATAGGATATGATCTTAAATTCACCATTTTAGGACTCCAGAGTGGTAAACAAAACTCTGAGGTCCAGACTTAATTGTTTGAGCAGGACTATTAATGAGCTTAAACAAGTTCAGCTTGTGCCTGACAAAATGCTGAGCAGCTTAAGCCTTGCACTGCAAAGAGTTTGTACCATTTATGTTTTTAAACACCATTTTCCACCACAACTCCCATTCCCACTCAGTGCAGGGGTTTGAAAGCAGCTTATTCCACGATGAAAACCATACACTTTCCAGTCTCAAGCTCCCACAGCTCTTGCTACTGCTTGGCAATGACTCAAGTAGCCAGAAAAAGAAAAAGAACAGGCTGTAAAAAGTGTGGCAGTGAGAAAGCTCTGGGCCAGAAGGTTGTTTGTCACATTGCCAAAGCCCAAAGGAGGAGAAAGAAGTGGGAGAAACATCAGAGATGGGAGAAACCTAGAAAGTGAACAAGATTCATAAGGAGTTCTGCCTAGGTCTGAAAGGAGAAAATGTCAACAGCTCAGAAAATATATAAATATGCATCCTTATGTAAACATAAATATACACCAACACATTAACATCTGGTCTTCAAAAAGTTTTCTAAGACAAAGAAAAACCAGGTCTACCAACAAAATGCACAACTTGCTTGCTTTGAGTTCACCATAGTTGTGAGCAATCTCTGCTTTCCAGGCTAAATATGTGCTGATCTTCAAAGCAAAATTCCCTCAGCAAGTTTTCTTTCATGACAGTTTTTTCCCTGTTAATTTATATGTTGGAGAAGAGAGTTTTCACTCCAGGGATTACAGAGGATGAAAAAATTGAGATGCTGAGGCCAGCTCACAGTTTTCAAGAGATTCAGAGCAGCAATAATTGAATCCAAGTATTGTTTGGAGTTTGGTAAAGCAGAGACCAAATCAGACAATCCAGAGGCAGAAAGATATGTCTGCAGGAGCTGTGTAAATTGAATCTCTGACAAATGCCTGGACTTCCCAGCACTGTGAACAATCACAGTGGTGGTTTGGTCTGATTCTTGTTCTAGTTTTACACTTACATGAATGACATGGATCTTCCCCAAAGTAGTAGAGATGTTCCACTGGGAAAGAGGAGAGGGTGAGACTCTAAATAGTCAATATTTGATGCCTAGGATCTCCTTTTATTCATTGTGCATATTAAAAATAAAATAAAAAAAGCTCAGAAATTGTAAAATATACTCTCTTACTCTTGCAGGGAGATGATACTTCCTCCTTTAAGATTTTCAAATTTAGGAAAACCCTCTGGCAGCAAACCTGACTCCTCTTGAACTGGTAGTGCTGCATGTTTAATGAGTGTAATGTTACCTCCCTGTTCAAAGCAAAGGTTGTGCAAAAGAATCATTGTCCCAGTAAATAAAAAGGTAATGAATTTTATAAACAGGTTTTTGAGTTTAGTATGAAAAATATTCTT